AAGAAAAGAAAAGAAAAGAAAAGAAAAGAAAAGAAAAGAAAAGAAAAGAAAAGAAAAGTTGTCTACATGTATGAAACCTCCTGTTGCAAGAAACAGGAAAAGGGGTATGTTACTGTTCAGGAAGGCAGTACAAAAGTCACTGTACTGGAGCAAATGAAATCCTTGAGTATATTACCTTTCTAAAGAGAGGGCTGGTAATCACCAGAAACATTCGGATTACATCTCTCAGAATCCTTAGTATGATTTAGCATTGCTGGCTAGGAATTCTGGGAGTTGTAGTTTCAATCTCTTTGGAAGATAACCATTGAAGAAAAGTCCTCTCCAGTAGAACTGAAAAAAAAACCTTGGCCAACTGATTACTGGCAAAGTAAATGGTAGGCCTAAAGTGGTGTTTCTCAACCTTGGCAACTTTAAGATATGTGGACTTCAACTCCCAGAATTCCCCAACCAGCCATGCTTAGTAAATTATACTAAGGATTCTGAGAGATGTAATCCCAATGTTTCTGGTGATTACCAGCCCTCTCTTTAGAAAGGTAATATACATGCTGGCTGGGGAATTCTGGGAGTTGAAGTCCACATATTTTAAAGTTGCCAAGGTTGAGAAACACTGGCCTAGAGGATTATAACTAGATATCCCAAAAGATAAGCATGAAGTAATCAATCTAAATCACATTTTCTGATCCAGTCTGATCATATGTTCAGTGTAGACTGGACTAGATTTTGGACTGAACAATATATAAACCCTAGTAAATAGAAGAAGGAAAGGACTTTCAACATTTATATCATTGGCAAAATCACACAGCTTAGCTAGACTTGAATTACTGATAATCTATATTATACGATCATGATCAAATTAATGATAATTTGATTCCATCCCACTTTCTTTTTGTTCATTCTACATTTGGATTCCTCTTTCAAATGATTTCTTTCCTACTCAACTTGGTCACTTCTTAAAGAATCTAAGGCATATCATTTTTTCAGTTCCACTTTTATTATGGCTTGCTGGTTTTAACTTCCTCCTCTGCTCTTGCTTTGTTAGATCAGATCATTAATATTATGGTTTACACAAGAAATATGAAAAAACAGTTATGGATATTTAAGGGTAGCCATGAAAGGGGTCAAAAAGTCAAGATGGTGGCTTTGACCATATCATTGAAGCCCTGTCCCTTTTTACACATGTTACTTGTGTCACACGCATAAAAAGAGTTGGGCCTTCAATTGCACAATCATAGATGCCACCTTGGTTTATTTACACCCCATCCTGGTGCACATTGGAAGACAATAAGCCTTTTAAAAATACCATATATAGTGCAACAAAAGATTAGCATCATTTCATCAAAGTCCGAAATCAAACTGCATCCATGCTTTAAATTAAATGAGGTTAATGGTTTTTGCGGCCATCTTCGCAAAATTCCACAAAAAACGAAGTTTAATAGGAATGGCATAAATATCTTTTGTATTCTTCGAGTCAGCTGCATGATTGCAATGATCCATTAAAATCATTGGGAAAATCAAGCAATCAGGAATGAGTAGGCTTATGCAGAGAGTAATATTTTTCTTTATGTTTTATGTTCTGTTAACAGATACCTTATTAATTTGTTTATTTATTTTATACTTTATACAGAATTGATTTGCATCTCTCCTTTGCATAGTTTGATCACTTGGAGATTCTTTTACAAATAAATTATGATTAACAATTATTTTTGTCTATAATAAAGATTCTGATTACATGCAAGAATGGTATAGACCTGCTTTCACCAACTTGGTGCTGCTCAAAGATTTTCCCAAGCTAGCTAGTGATTATGGATAATGGGAGCTGGAATCCACATAACGGGGGGAGACCAATCAAGGAAGACACTTAGAGCATGAGTCCCTTCCTCGTGTTGCAATATTAGGCCTTTCTTACTCTGCCTAACAACCCACAATAATCCAGAGACTGATTAATTTCTTCTCTGGCCAAAACTCCTATTGAAGATTACTGCTTGCATTCTGTAGCAGCAAAAGCCAACAGGCTGGAACAAATTGAATTTATCAGGCCATCAGTGATACTTATACCTATCAAGAACACACCCAGAGGTATGTCATTCATTTTCATCATTTGTTTCAGATCCAGCAGGGAAGTGACATTTTGCTAGGCACTGATAAGCTAAGGCTAAGACAAGCCCATCAATTCGACCGAACTAGTTACTTTTGTTTCCTTTACTGAAATGGGGGTGGGGGTGGTCCTGTATTAATTCTACTACAACTCAAAAAAAGACAGACAGAAGAATGACCAAACAAAAGGCAAATCCCCAACCCCTTTTCCAGCTCTCTTTTGGCCACCATAAAGGAGACATTTCTGACTGTGACAGAAATACTGTTATTAGAAAAGGAGTAACCGGATAGATGTGTTCTCACAACGTATTTAACTAGGTCACTGGCAAACCTGTGAATGCTCTGCAGAACGCGCAAGGCTTCGTCAGTTTTAAAGTTGCTCCGATTGGTTAGTGGATGGTGCAATGTATTGTGTGAACCCAGAACATTAATTCAGTCGTTAGATTAAATGTGTTACGAGTAAGCAGTTGGTAAGTACAAATAGCTATGTTTGTACAGTTGCAGACTATTCTTAAATCACATTGTCAGGTTCTTCAATCTCTGGACTACTGCTTGGGGGAGAAAAAGGCTTTGTATAGATTTATTATCTCGGGGACCCTATGGCTCCAATTCAAGCATCCCTCATCATAAGGCATATTGGCTAGGGTTCTTGAGAGGTTTAATTCAGCAGTAGTTTGTAGCCACAAGACACCCAATGTTTTGTGTGTCATCTGCCCAGATTGGTTAAACTGGCACAACAGCAAACCCTAAGCCTTTTCACTGCTGAATCTGTTCTGCGCTATTTGCAAAATCCTCACCCTATGATTTAAAAAGGGACACTGCACTCATATAACGCTTAGTGTATTTGCCCATAAAATTACAGTCTGATGCATTTCACCTTAAATGAGTATTTTGTGCTTGCTTGATCCTAACGTATGAATTTTTGTACGCATTTGAATCTAAAATGTGCACCTTATACGTGTTTTTTGAGCTGACATCACAGTGTGAGACCTGAAAGATAACCACTACATTCTTTGTGTCGGTACAGGAAATAGAAATCCATTCAGATTGGTTAAGAATGCACACCAAACCAAGTCTTCCCATATCCCAAAACTAAGCTTACTGAGAAAACCCCTCCCTATTGTGCAAAATGTTATTTTGGAAATTGTTGCAATGCTATCTACAGGTCATAAGTGTAACCTAGATTAAACCCTTCCCAAAAGAGTCATCCTGGTCTAATCAAATATTTAAACTCCCTATTATTTTTATCCAAATAAAAGTCTTCAGGTACAAAAACACAAAGAGATTCATCGTAAAAAGTTGACATTTAAACCTACCTTCTTCATTCTTTTTATTAGCCTGTTTGTCTAGGACTGCCATGCCTAATTTATTTAGCCATCTGAAATTTAAAATGGACATACATTTGAATGGAATGTCATATCTAGTCTGTCTTAAAACAGATGTAAACTAATATGCATTAACTTAAACTGATAATTTACCAAACACTGTATTAAAGCAAACTGTATCAAACCTGCCAAGCAGATAGAGATCTTCATTCAAATGGAAATAATTGAAGATATTTACCACAGCTGTATATCTCAAAACAAACCTTCAAGTATAGGTTACATTCAATGTCTTATTTGCCTTCATGCACAGATAGCTGTTTTCAGCATATAGCATTCTATTAGCAGGAATCTTCTGCCGGCTGCATGCTATACAATAGGATAAAGGCAAAGATGGCCTTCAGTCAAGCACAACTCCTGGTGGCTTCAGAGATATAATTGTGCAGTTTTCCTAACAACAGGTTTCCCACAGCCTTCTTTCGGGACATTATTGAAATCCCCAGCCTAGGCTGCAGCCCTAGATTCCCTGGCCGTCCGGAATCCAGATACTACCCAAGCCCCACCCAGCTCTGCACCCAAGCTGTGCTTCCTGACAATGCTCTCCAGCTGCTGCCACCTATGGAGACAGATGATGAAAATTCAGAGGCAAAGGATACTGTATAAAGGGAGTAATGCAGTGATAGCCCTTCTAGCTTGCACCCCGATGCAATCTAACTGGTCCCAACTCCTCCCTGAAGCCTTGTCTCTTGGGACAGGTGAGGGGCAAGAAAAGGAGGCCTCACTGGAACATTAAGGAGTGGGTGATAGCTCTCCATCACTAGCCCCATATCCAATTAGGCTGTCAAAATGGCTCATTCTTCACAACTCAGACGTTTCCTGAACTGAATGGAGGACAGAGAGGTGAAGTTTAACCTTCCCTGTTTGCAATTTCCTGCATGCGTATTACTCAGAAACTATTGAGCCCATAGCAAAGATGGAGTTGAATACGTTTGCATGGATCAGTGGATGAGAAGGAGAAAGAGGAGTAATGAATGTCCTTATTGATTTTACATTCAGCCATGAAGATACGTGATCAGGAAGTTATGGAGTCCAATGGCAGAAAAAAGGTGAACATCTTTTGGACTCACATCTTTGACAACAGTCTACATAGAAATAATAATCAAACAACAGTTCAATCAATCAGCTGAAAAAGACAGAAGTTGGGCATTTCTTTTTACTTACATATTCATTTCCTCCACATTTTCTGCTGCAAAATAGAATGTCTTGATATGTGGATGGGTGATCTTCATAGCACTTCCAAAACAAAATATATATGGAAAAATATTAGACTTTCTAAAAGTGAGGCTGAATGAAAGAATCAGAAGCATTTCAATGCAGTGAAATATCCCTGATACCTAGTTCCATGAGGTATTCCAGAAGACTATCATGATCATGGGGGGAAAATGACCAGTTAATCCAAGGGAGTTAAGAAGAACGGCTTTCAAGATGACTCAGGCAATCTCAGTCTCATATCTCAGCTTAAACCCATACTGTGTCAAGAGTTGAAAACAACCACTAAACTAGGAAAAGCTTATGTATAAGCTCTAATAAATGCAGTGAAAGACAAAACTTTGGGAAGTCTATCATGCTGCAATATAAAGTGTCATCCTTTTCCCCTGTATGCAGAATACTGTAAAGCAATTTCATGGATTTGCAGTTCTATTTAAGTAATGTTCAGTCCCAACTTCTGCTTTATTCTTCATAATGTATTTTATTAGTTTGAAATTTAGCTGTGTTGCAGTCCAGTGGAGGTACAGCTGCTGCCTCCATGCCCTGCTGGAGAGTTGTAGAGAAACATCTTTGGAAATAAGCTGTTTTGTTGGATTAGAAGAAGCACTGATGTGGTCCATCAATGAGCTTACTCTGATTTTGAACTGTACATTCAAAATAATTGGCAACTTTCCCAAAGACTGAGACAGAATGATAGACTTACTATTTTTTCTTGCATTCTGTTGCTTGATCCACTGTGAAGTTCGGAAGGCTGAGGAATCCTTCTGCTTTCTCTGCCTAGGGGGAAAAACCCACAAAACATTAATATATGCCATGTTATTGATCAAAATTGGACATTGGAATTCAATTGGACATTGAATTTCATATCTCTGTTGACATTATAGAAAGGATATTTTTAGCTCTCCGTGAGCTAAATTGTAAGGATGGTTTAGGCAATAGAAAGGATGTTTTAACTACTTGAGCTTAATTGTAAACCATAGTATAATGTGAGGAACTGTTCCCAGCATCATGTAACAAATAGGGGAAGAAATATACAGGGCCTTTGCTCCCTGCATTCTTATGCTCAGATGTTTAGCAGTTATTTCACTGGACCAGACAGTGGTTTATTTTCTCTCACTAGCTCATAGGATTCTGGACAGCTGTAAAATCCAAACTAACTGTGTACTCTGGTTATAAAACTGCAGTAATTCAGATCAATTATGTGTAAATAAAACATATGTAGACAAGCAAAGAAATATGAAGTCGCCATGGTGGTCGATAACCACATCATTCAATAGCTGAGTTTCTGGATGTAAGACAGTGAATGCCATCCCTATCATCAGAGAGCTGTTAAGTCATCTGCTTCTAAGATATTTCAGGTGATGGTATTATTGGTGGTTGATATACCACTGGGCCTGTATCTTTCTAGTGGAAGATGCAGAAATAATTCTCATTCCCCAACTTTCCATCACAGTATGCCATAAAACTCATGCCCCAGAAATAAAACTACTGGATTTTTGTATTTATGAAACTTACATTTCTCACATACTGTAGATGGCACCAAAGAAAGAAGCCTGCAAGGTTTTAGAAATATCAGTTCATTGATTTTTATTGTCCTCAAATGCAAATAGAGTATGAGTCAGCTGCCCATTCCTCAGCCAAAAACACTGGCAAACAAAAGTTAAGAAAAACTGGTTCAGGGGATTCTAGTGAACTAAACACAGTTTAATGCCTCTTGTGCAGTCTCTTGAACTGTCACTATTGTCAGTTAGAGAAGTAAGGAAGGATGGATATGGAACAAGCACTGGTAGAAACAGAAGACGAACAAGTAGCATTTGTCATAATACAGATTCAGTAAAAC